TACACATTAATTGTTCATTAGAGTTTCGACAGAGTTTCGACAGTCATTAAGAGGTTTCGCCCACAACCTTAGTTCAATATGTGCTACTGATGTCCCTTGGAGATTTCCAATACTTTTTTCAATATCTTCACCTGTTGATAAGTCATTTCCTAAACTCACAAATCTTTTGATCACATGTGAGATCTATTATAATAGTAGCATCATTGAAATCAATAAGTTGAAACTCAAATCAATTAGTTGTCAATTTAACTGGATCATTAATAAAATGGACTCAATAATTGACCAACATATCAAATAAGGAGGTAATTTGTTAAATCATAATTTTCTTCATTTGATTAAAAGAAAAAAAATTTTTTATGATTAAATTGGTTCACAATAAGCCATTTATTACATTTATTGTACATTCAATCCTTTGCAAATTATTACAGTTGGATCTATCTATACAACCAATCACAATATTCTTAATTCAAAGATAGTTTGTGAAAATGTTGCTATAAACTTTCTGACTGTATAGTTTCAAGTAACAAACCAAATTAACAAAATTTTATATTGAATAATTAATAGACTATCAATTTACCTGTGCATGGTGAGAAACAATGGCAGTTTTAGCCTCTCCCAGCTCTAAGAATGTCCAACTTCTAACCTCAATACCATACCATTCATACCAGTAGTTCAAAATTACCATCAGTTCAGAGTTGTGATAATGACCACCATTATCTGATATTATGGATACCCATTTAGGTTTATTTTCAATTGAGGTAAGAACAGCATGAAGTGAAGATGCTGTAAACCAAGCATCTTGTCGTGTGTCATTGGACCAATGATCAAATGCACTAACATCTAATTCATCATTTTGCTTTTTAGTATATAATAATGTACTGTGCAAAGTCCATCCTTTTTTACCAAAAAATTGGTCCTTGGTTTCACAAGCAGATTTTGGAAGAACATGCATTTTATAATCTACCACTAAAACTGCACCTTCGCAATCAAGCTCTCTGAGTATAAAAGAAAATTGAGAATTCAAATATACTTTCCTTGTTTGATGGCTAAGATAATAACAAAGTTTTTCCTGGGCATCATCCAACATATCAATAGATGTTTTGCCAATAACATTTTGTAGATTTTTGAATAAGATCCAGAATTCATCACAGTTTTGACAAGTATAAAATATGCTTTTCTTTACAGATACCAAAAGCATATGCAAGACAATGTGAAATACAAGGGTCATGATGAGGCTGGCCATCCTTTTCAATTTTAATTTCTTTTTCATAATTTAGCTTCATATGTCTTCGTAGTAATTCAATTCTATTAATAAAATTGGTCTTGCAAAATATTCATGTAAGTTTAATTTTTTATAAATGATTATAAATTTAAAAATATATTCAATCTACCTTTAACTCTCCATCAAGATTATTTGAAACTAAATGTATTAGATCTTCAAAAACATTGTAACCATAATAGCAACAGGTTGAACATAGACCTCCAAGGTCTTCTCTATACTGAAACCTCTGACTTTTTAATTGTGTCATGAAAGAAGATCGCTTGATTCCATTTGGATATGTTGCAGAATACTTATCCCAAAGCGCTTTTTTTGTATCCTTAAGATATAGCACTGGAAGATTCGATTCACGATCAACCTTGTAAGAACTCATATTTACAATTGATTTGTCTGAAAAGAACTTCTCAAATTGTTTTTTTGCTTCTTCCAAAAAGCGGTTTCGATGTATTTGTGGTTTTTCAATAGGACCATTTAATCTCACAAATTTTCTTGCTTCACATAATGTATGCTTTGCTACATTTATCTAAAAAGAAAAGGTATTTTAATATTTTACATATTTTTTAAAATCAAAAATTTACACCACCATAACTAAAAAAAAAAAAAGAGCAAAACAACCTAAGTTATAAAATATGTGAATATTATGTATGTTTTTAGGTAATTAATGTAAATAGGTGTCCAAATACTTTTTTCCGGGTAGTGTATATATATTTGATGAACCTATTCATTGGTTTGCTTGGCAATGAAATTAAAAAAATATAATACAGAGAGAAGAAGAATTCTTGGCTCAAAAAGCAAAGATGATAATCTAGAGCATTCGACTTATTTCTTAACGAGCTTAAAAAACGTGTTGTTGATACCTGAAAAAATTTCTTTCTCGTGATTATTTTAAATTGCAGATCTTCCACATAAAATTTTTTTTCTTAAAAAAAAAAATGGTTAATCAAGAAGATTCAGAAAATAATAAATTAAAAATTGATATTCTTAAACCAGAGTTGCCACATTTAGTTGAACTTGTTGAAAAATGTAAAGCTATAAAAAATTTGACTTTTGATCTTTTACAAAAAGCTGAAAGAGATTTGCCTGATGATGGTGTAAATGTATATTTCGAAAATATTATTAAATATTTATTATTGTTATTATGACTAATTTTGATTATTTTATTTGTGGGGAAAAATAATAAAAGCCTACAACAACTACAACAGATCCTGCTGAAATAGATTCAACTAAACTTCAACTTGATTATTCGTTTATGCAATTGCGACAATTAAATCGTAAATCAAATTTAGAAAAAAATTCAAATAAATTGGCAACTCAAGAAGCAAAATTAGAAATGGATAGGATTCATTTACAATTACAAGATCTTAATTATATGAAAACATATTTACAAAGAGAAATTCGTAAATGCAGATCGTTCAGGTTGGTCCCTTCTTCTTTTTTGACCAATCATTCATTCAATCATTCATTATTTATTTGCTATGGATGAATGTGTATGTACATAGATCGATATATCAAAAAATACCACTTATATTGGAAGATGAATTTAAAGTAACTCATCCAGAAACAATAAATTTCTCACAACCAGAGGGTGAGATTAATGAAAAACAGATTAAGCATGAATTAATGTTGCAAAGATTATCATTTGAAAAAGAAGAAAGAATTAGGTAATAATAATAATATTGATAATAATAATAATAATAATAATAAATTATATAAAGCAATTTTTTAAAAAAACTTTTTTTTTTCATGAGAAAGATTGCAAGAAGAAGTTTCATTAAAATTAAAAAGAAAGCAAGAATTAGAAGAAAAAATTGATGCAAAAAAGAAGAAAATCGAGGAAGTAAATAAAGAATTTAATAATTTCTTACAAGTAAGTTTTATTAAAATGGTTTGTCTTTTTTGTTAAATTTATAATTTAAATAAATTAATTATAAATTATTATTCACATATTTATTAACTCTTCTCAAATATTATTTATCTGGAATTTAGCAATCAAAACCAATTAAAGATGCTTTAAATGTTGGTGATCCATTGCCAATGGATACTGAGCAATAAAGATGGCAACAACAGCAGCAGCAATAGTAGTAACTAAAGATTTTTTATAATAATTATAAATTTTTATTTATTTTATTTATATATACAGTATATAAATTTTTTTTTGTTTTATGTATATAATAATTTTTACATTTTTAGAAAAAATATAAATAAATACATAATATAATAATAGTGACGATAATATTAATTAATTAATTAAAGTTAACACTAGTAGAATGATGTTAAATCAGAGATTAGAATCAGACATCCAATTTTGACCTATTTATACAATAGATAGATTGTTGTGACATGCTGATTTATGGCATTGGGATTATTTTTGACAGCAATTTCAAAGTCTAACCAGATACCTTTTGGTTTACTATATATTCTCATTTGGTAATAAATTTGATTCTTTATTTTATTTTCAATTGATATGCTATTGTGAATACCTGATTGAATTTTATTTAATTGGACATCATTCAGATATTTAAAACTCAACCAGCATTCTGGCTAGTATTAACTGAGTATATGTATATCCAATTTCTTTTATCTTATTTTTAAATTTATAATGAATGCAAATTGATTTTATATTATTATAATAATTGTGAACTTTTTGACCTCACACAGTTTTAAAACAATTGATTTTTTTATCTCACTTCAACACAACAGTTATTTGCATGTCATCTTTTTTAATTCACTCTCTTGCTTCTACAGAACAACAATGGGGAATGATCACTTAAATGACCAGGAAAATCTTTGATTGAGAAAGAGGGTTGAGTATCATTTCCATGTTTTTTTGGCATGGTTAAAAATCTTTCACTGGCTGTTTAATCAATATGCAACCATCAAAAAAAAAAATGTCAAGATTTATTAAACAAAAGTAGGTGCAGTTTCTAAGTTAAAAATGTTCTTCATGAAAATTTGCACATATGGGGTAATCTTGTCATTGTGTTCTTTCCTATTGAAAGACCTATTCATTAATAAATTTGCATAATTTTCATTACTATTACTAATAGTAATGAAGTTAAACCTAAATTCTACCCTGGAAAATATGACCATCTGCCTTGAAAAGAAAAATATTAATAGTAATTATCTTACTAAATTTAGGTGCGTTTATCTTGTGATTTTTCTCAATTGTTAATCTTTTGGTTAGTTATTAATGTATCAAAAACATTAAAAAAAAAAACATGTTACCATTACTTGGGTTCATAAAACTAATTTTTTTTTATAAATCTCTCTAAAACTAATTAACCAACATTATATGAGATCTATAAAGCTTGGAAAGTAAGTTTTGTAAAATATACTTGACGAATGCTTTATCTAGTTGTATGATAGACAAGTTTGATGATTTGAAAATGCCATATAAGTATTTAAAATTCAAAAAAACCGCAATAGTTCTGTATCTTGGGTAAGCACTTGTTCAAAGTGAGCGATCCTAGATTCAAAAGAAAGCTTAAATTCTATTGCACATAATATTCAAACTTATTTATAGTTAATATTTAGTAATGTTATTTAATATTGATTTTAAATCACAATTAGTTGACCCAATAATAATATTAAATATCTCTCTACATTTCTCTTCTTTTTTTGACAATTTGTATGTTATTGTTGCTTGCTCATATTATTAAAATGTAAAAGAAAAACTTTATACTATATAAATATTATAAATATTCATTACAATGTAATTATTTGCTTTTATTTCTAGTTATACTTGCGATTGGACAATTGAACGCGTCAAACAAAATTTTAAAATTTTACTATGATTCGGATCGTCCATTTACAACCTGAGGGAAATGTCATGCGACTAGTTGATTAATAATAATAATAATAATAATAATAATAATAACTTATATATAACATACCATCTAAACCATTTTATTTTACAACCTTTCTCCTAATATCAGAGCCCAAATGCAATTTCAGGACCACCAACCCTGCACTGAATCGCAACCTCATGTGCTTGAAACGAGTTGTGGATCCTTGTTGCTTTTATGGATCTGGATGCTTACATGGCACTACAATTCATCAACAGAATTGCGATAGCTTGGTCACAGAGCTATCCTTACCCTATAGGTAGGTTCGTTGCAGGCAACTTTTCAGCCAGCATGCCAGCAAGCCTTCGCTGTGAGGGAGGATTAGTGAAAAGTGTCATTGACGATTGATGCAAGCTTCGGTAAACTCCAGGGCCATACTATCCCTCCTTGGAATTCAACATCATCATTGTATCATCAGGGGATGAAGTCAGATTAGCCTTGTGTCCACGCGGAATCTGTGAGAATGACTGTAAAGTGTTCAAGGTAACGTGCGTGCTTCAACATCTGCTAATTTCCGATAATCAAAACGTCTCATATTTAAATTGTTTCTTTTTCAATGGTGTGCTGCCTTGACATCTTCTTGTAATTATATATTAATAATATTATTATTATTACGATTACACGAAGCAAATTACCAATCATTTATTATCATCTTGATAAGAATCTTATAATTACCCAGCAAGATCTGCTCCGCGTTTTGGTTCCAATTAAAATATTTATTAACTAGAATAAAAATATCAATACAGATAAAAAAAAAATACCTCTGGTTAGTTATTTATCAACACGTTTTCTTTAGGAGATCCAAACCAAACCAAAAAACAACACTCAAGTTTTGTCACCTTGGACCCTGTCAAAAAATAAATCGATTTTCCAAAAAAAAAAAAATAATTCGTCCTCCCCAAAAAAAAACTAATAGGATAAATAACTAATGTGTACACGTCAATCAAATCACAAACTTCTTTTTTTTTTGTAAAAAATGTCAGCAGAAGACGATCAATGGCTATTGCTGAGGATCATGAGTAAGTGTGTATCATAAGAGTGGTGGTGGTGGTTATCTCCCATCATTCGTCGTCACTCTAGTTATTTAAATAAATTGAAAAGGTGGAGGAAGGAATTATTGATAATTGATTAATTATAAATTCTTTTGAATAAAGTAAATAGAATCGAAGAAGATAGCGAACTTAAATTGTTAAATGACCAATATGCAAGTCAAATGCTCTTTACGAACTTAAGACCAAGGTAATTAAAATAAATAATAAAGCACCAAATTATTAT